CAAGTTTGGGAACTGGGCAGGTTGACGTCATGCCTTGCCCTGACCTGGTACCAGACAAAGAACCCTCAGAGGACATCCCACAGGCAGGACCGAAGTCCGACAGCGATACTCTCCCCTCCTGTGGCTTCCAGCAACTGGTATTCAGAAACAGCTGCCTCCAGCTGTAGAGACATGGCAGAGCCATCCTGACTGGTAGCCATCGATAGCCCTCTCCTCCATGAATTTCCCCAAGCTGGTGGCCATCACTGCCTCCTGTGACAGAGGGTATGTGATGCACAAATTTCCTTTTATGTGCCCTGAATCTTCTAATAATTCACTTTCTTTGGATGTCCATAATAATAATAATAATAATAATAATAATAAATTTTATTTATACCCCGCCCTCCCCGGCCAGAGCTGGGCTCAGGGCGGCTAACACCAATAAAATCACAGTAAAAACATAATGGGGGAGAAAAAAGGGGGGGGAACAATTTAAAATACAAGTTAAAATGCAATTTAAAATGCAACCTCATTTTAAAAGTAGCTGATAAATCAAGACCAGAAGGGGAGGGAAAAATAAGGGTCAGACTGAGTCCAAACCAAAGTCCAGGCGGAACAGCTCTGTCTTGCAGGCCCTGCAGAAAGATGTCAAGTCCCGCAGGGACATAGTCTCTTGTGACAGAGCGTTCCACCAGATCGGAGCCAGTACTGAAAAGGCCCTGGCCCTAGTTGAGACCAATCTAACCACCTTGCGACCTGGGACCTCCCAAATGTTGTCATTTGTGGACCTTAAGGTCCTCCGCGGGGCATACCAGGAGAGACGGTCCCGTAGGTACGTGGGTCCTAGGCCGCATAGGGCTTTAAAGGTCAAAACCAGCACCTTGAATTCCAGAGTTATCAGACAGGGAGAAAAAACTTTCTTCTCTAAACTAAAAACTCTGAAATATCCCTTTCGAAGGGAGACGGCCAGAATTTTACACAGTACTCCAAATGCAGTTGCACCATAGATTTGTATAATGGCATTGTGACAATTATAGAATGGCAAGGTTGGGAGGGACTCTGAGGGTCATCTAGTCCAACCCCCCCCCCCCCCGCAACGCAGGAATCCAACAGATGGCTACCCAACCTCTGCTTAATAACCTCCAAAGAAGGAGAGTCCACAACCTCTTGAGGGAGTCTGTATGTCAGGTGTGCATGCAGGAGCCAGGCCCTGTGACCAATAGGACTTTGCAGGACGGGGGCCTTCCTAAGTTTGTTCTGAAGAAGCAAGACACGGCCACACAGGTGAGGCCGATTGGTAACTCACAGCACCTGGTGGCAAGAGCCAGGAAGGGATATAAGGTCAGCATTTCCCTTTGGCTCTTTGCCACAGCAATACATTCCCTCCACTGCTGCATTTGGCTCCTTGCCTCTTGATCCTCGGACCCCTGACTTCGTGACTCCTTGCTTCTTGATCCTCAGACCCCTGACTTCGTGACTCCTTGCTTCTTGATCCTCGGACCCCTGACTTCGTGACTCCTTGCTTCTTGATCCTCAGACCCCTGACTTCTTGACTCCTTGCTTCTTGCTTCTTGATCCTCAGACCCCTGACTTCGTGACTCCTTACTTCTTGATCCTCAGACCCCTGACTTCTTGACTCCTTGCTTCTTGCTTCTTGATCCTTGGACCCTTGACTTTGTAACTCCTTGTTTCCTGACCCTCGGACCCTTGACTTCTGGACTCCTTGCTTCTTGATCCTCAGACCCCTGACTTCGTGACTCCTTGCTTCTTGATCCTCAGACCCCTGACTTCGTGACTCCTTGCCTCTTGATCCTCGGACCCCTGACTTCGTGACTCCTTGCTTCTTGATCCTCGGACCCCTGACTTCGTGATGCCTTGCTTCTTGATCCTCGGACCCTTGACTTTGTAACTCCTTGTTTCCTGACCCTCGGACCCTTGACTTCTGGACTCCTTGCTTCTTGATCCTTGGACTCTTGACTTCCTGACTGCTTGCTTCCTGACCCTCGGACCCTTGACTTCATGGCTCCTTGCTTCTTGATCCTCAGACCCCTGACTTCGTGACTCCTTGCTTCTTGATCCTCAGACCCCTGACTTCATGACTCCTTACGTCTTGATCCTTGGACCCTTGACTTCCTGACTCCTTGCTTCCTGACCTTCGGACCCTTGACTTCGTGGCTCCTTGCTTCTTGATCCTCAGACACCTGACTCCTTGCTTCCTGACCTTCGGACCCTTGACTTTGTGGCTCCTTGCTTCCTGACCCTCGGACCCTTGGCTTCTGGACTCCTTGCTTCTTGATCCTCGGACCCTTGCCTTCTTGACTCCTTGCTTCTTGATCCTCGGACCCCTGACTTCATGACTCCTTCCTTCCTGACCCTCGGACTCTTGGCTTCCTGACTCCTGGCTTCTGGACTCCCATACCTGCTCCCACCCCGCCATCTTGCCCCTGGTCCCGACGTCCCCAGCCAGGACTTCGATCGCCCGTGAACTGGACTGTGACAGTGTACCACTGTTGAACTGCTCTTGGTGTCAGAAAGATCTTCCTGATGTTTAGTCTGAATCTCCTTTCTTGCAAGTAACTTTCTGGAGTAGGAGAAAACAAGCTTGCTCCATCTTTCATGTGACAGCACTTTAGATATGTGAAGATGGCTATCATATCTGCTCTCTGTCTATTGGCAGTATCATTTTAAATTCCTTGCCTAATGATCCCTAGCGTGCAATTTGCCTTTTTTTTCCCAAAGCTGCCACACACTGTGTCAACATCTTCACTGAGCCAGCATGGTGTAGTGGTACAGAGAGGTGGACTCGTAATCTGGTGAACCGGGTTCACGTCTCCGCACCTCTACATGCAGCTGCTGGGTGACCTGGGGCTAGTCACACTTCTCTGAAGTCTCCCAGCCCCACTCACCTCACAGAGTGTTTGTTGTGGGGGCGGAAGGGAAAGGAGAATGTTAGCCGCTTTGAGACTCCTTCGGGTAGTGATAAAGTGGGATATCAAATCCAAACCCTTCTTCTTGTCTACTGTGACCCCGAGGTCTCCTTCCAGGTCTGCCACTGCTAGTTCAGAGCCCATGAATGTGCACGCTGGAACTCTGGGACTCCCCAATTAAACCCACACCAACTTGGCATTTCCCCACGGTCAACTAACAACATCAATGGGCCCATGGCTATCACAGTTTCCTTACGTTCTGTGCCCTCTGACAATGATCTGCAAACAATTTAACATCTACTGGACTCTCTGTCTCTCTCCCCCTCCCCTCGGGTCATTAGCAGCTCCTGGAATCCAGTCTGATAAGGAGCAAACACTTCTGGCCAGGGAATAGCTGCATACATTATTTAAATTTAATCCCGCTGCCAAGCTGAGGGATGACTTGAGATAGATGGCAGTTTAAGGATCGGAATTAACGGGCAAAATTAAATTAGGCCACGGGTGGCTGGGTGAAGAGAGACTCGCGTCACAATTTTAGCTTTTCCAGCAACGCTTCTGATCACTCTTGGTGGATGAGAGGTGCTGTTGGTTTTTAAGGGTCTCCTCACTCCATACACACACACACACACACACACACACACACACAAACAAACACACAAACCCAGTTGCTGTCAGGACCTGCCAAAGCTGCAATTAGCAATGCTCTTCTTGGGTGGTTCTTTGAAGGGTATCAACATTCTGCAACCAGACAGGCTTAATTCTGCAACCTGCATTCATGATCCGTGTTTCCTTTTCTTTTGCACAGTGTTCCGACCATTCTGTGCATTTTATTCTGGTTTTCTTTGCTTATCACAGGAAGGAAGAAAAAAGCTCTGCAGAGCACTGAAGAACACACACACAAGCTCCCTTGATCTGGCTGCTGATATTTCAATAGGTGACAGCCATAATGCATAATTCAAACAGATCTTTGCATCGTTATAAGAACCGTTAACGCTGAGAACTGCTGCATGAGCTCACTTTTTCCCTCCTCCCTCCCCATCCCCTTTCCCTTGTGTGTCATGTCTTTTTTATTGTAAGTCTTTACGACTGATCTTGCAAGCCATATTTTTTTGGCTAAAGAGTGGGGTGAAACTGGTTCTCTAAAGAAATAAGCCTTAGAAACGAGGAATGAAACCTCTGGTTCTCTGGCAGCTAAATTACGCAACTGACAGCACATTCTTCCAGGTCCTGTGCATGCCTGTTGAATCACAGCAGGCACACACACAACACACACATTATTAAACAGTATGATCACATCTTATGCACAACTAACTTGCACAGTTTCAACCTTACACAGTTGAAAACTGGCCGGTGCAAGGCGGAGAGCTTAAAAGCTCCTTTTGCATCGGGTTTTCCCCACGTGGAAATAATAATAATAATTTATTATTTATACCCCGCCCATCTGGCTGAGTTTAAGCTCTCCACCTTGCTTTCCAGGCAAGTCCCACTTGGACAGGGGCTCTGGGATGCTCTCACGACATCCCATGGGAACTCAGACGGCTCCAGGAGATCTCATGAGAGCACCCCGGAGTCTGTGCGCTGAACAGGCCTTTCCTGGGAAGCAATGAGGAGAGTTTAAAAGCTCTCTGCCTTGCCTGGTGGGGTGCAGGGATAAGGCCCACTCAGTTTGCTAGCTCTGGAAAGTCAGGATGGGGTGTGCGATTCGAGTATATGTGTTTTTTTGTATATATGCCACCCCCGGAACGTAAGTTCCACACAAGCTGTGATATAATATACAAATCAGCTGGCAGGTGGTTGGCGGAAGTGGAAAGAGTCAAAGGCCAGGAAATCCTCTTACCCGCCCCGAAGAGCCATCTGTCTATCACTCTGATACATCCACTGACCAGTGCTGTTGCCAACAACTGCGTCCGTCATGGCTGAATGTTGAGGCTCCCTGAAAGACAAGAAATTAGCAAGAGCTTGTAAGCCAGCAGCGAGATCAAGGGTTGAAGAGGTAATGATTGCAGCAGCAAAGCAGAGGGTGTGAGCTCTTCAGAATAGTTGGAAGGGACCACGAGGGTCATCTAGTCCAACCCCCTACAATGCAGGAATCTTTTGCCCTACATAGGACTCAAACCCAGCACCCTGAGATTCGGAGTCTCACGCTCTGCTGACAGAGCTACAAGGCAACAAGCCCTTTAGGCAGAGAAGCTCCCAGAGAATAATCTTCCTCTTTCACACCCATATTTGCAGGTCACTAACAGGTCCCTTCACCAGAGTCGCATTTAAGGGACGCGGGTGGTGCTGTGCGTTAAACCACTGAGCCTAGGGCTTGCCGATCAGAAGGTTGGTGGTTCGAATCCCCGTGACGGGGTGAGCTCTCGTTGTTCAGTCCCAGCTCCTGCCCACCTAGCAGATCAAAAGCACGTCAAAGTGCAAGTAGATAAATAGGTACCACTCCGGCGGGAAGGTAAACGGTGTTTCCATGCACTGCTCTTGTTCGCCAGAAGCGGCTGAGTCATGCTGGCCACATGACCCGGAAGCTGTACGCCGACTCCCTCGGCCAATAAAGCGAGATGAGCGCCGCAACCCCAGAGTCGTCCGCAACTGGACCTAATGGTCAGGGGTCCCTTTACCTTTAACAGGTCCCTTCTCAAAGAAGGGACCCTAGGAAATAAACTGCCTTTCTGGTGTAGAGAGATTTTTCTGAGTTGCAATTTTGTTCACAAGGTGGGCTTCCTGGAGGGAAAGCAGCACAGGGCATTTTATCTGATGCAAGTAAAACTGAATCTGTGAGCGCTGCAACGGGTCAGTTTGACATCAAGTCTGCACGGACATTTATATGGGAGCGATCGAGAGCTAAACCACGCGCAGTGCTACAGTGCACCAGCCATACGTTGGGTGTTGCCTTGCTATGTCAGCGCTGAGTCTTGATGCTAGACTCCTGCCGCACACCACACCATTTGCATGAGGAAAGCCAGTACGCATGGGAGCTCAGAAAGCAGCTCCTGCGTGTCGGAAGAGACACAGCGGTGTGGACTCAGAAAGCGTCGCCGCACAACAGCACAAAGAGGCACAACTTTAAACAAGCAAAACAGACTGTGAATGGTGTAGAATTCAGAGAGCTGGCTTCCTTTTCCTGTTTCAGGGTTCAATACCGCATAATGGTGCCATGCTGGGACATGGACAACAGTTTCATACCCTCCAATATTTCTCTAATGAAAATAGGGATGTTCTATTTATTATTATTGTTGTTGTTAATACTCCAGATATCTGCCTGCGTTATCCCAGCTACTCTTGGTGCCTTCCAATATACATAAAAACATGATGAAACATTAAACATTAAAAAAACATTAAAAAGCCCCTATACAGGGCTGCCTTCAGATGTCTTCTTAAGGTTTTAAAGGTAAAGGGACCCCTGACCATTAGGTCCAGTCGTGGCCGACTCTGGGGTTGTGGCGCTCATCTCGCTTTACTGGCCGAGGGAGCCGGCGTACAGCTTCCGGGTCATGTGGCCAGCATGACTAAGCCACTTCTGGCAAACCAGAGCAGCGCACGGAAACACCGTTTACCTTCCTGCCGGAGCGGTACCTATTTATCTACTTGCACTTTAATGTGCTTTCGAACTGCTAGGTTGGCAGGAGCAGGGACCGAGCAACGGGAGCTCACCCCATCGCAGGGATTCAAACCGCCGACCTTCTGATCGGCAAGTCCTAGGCTCTGTGGTTTAACCCACAGCGCCACCCGTGTCCTTCTTAAGGTTTTAGAGTTACTTATTTCCTTGGCTTGCAGGTTGCATATCTCCATACCCTCCAATGTTTCTCTGGTGAAAATAGGGATGTCCTAAGGAAAAGAGGGACATTCCGGGATCAAATTGGAAACCCGAATGGCTTCTGTAAATCCAGGACTGTCCCTGGAAAATAGGGACACTTGGAGGGTCTACTCGGAGTAATTTGCAGTAACTACCTCCATATTCCAGTTGACCAACAGATACATTTCAAAAGAATTATTACCAGGGGTTAAAACATGTTCAGAAGCCCACATTTTCTATGGCATCTTTGCCACACTCCCCTTAGGCTTCCTACTCCACTGATTTTATCTGGTCCATTAATTTCAATGGGTCTACTCTGAGCAGGACTAACCTTGGGTAAATCCAAGTGCATGCAACTTAATCAAAAAGTTATCCTGGAAATTATTTAATCTGGAATTTATAATTGATGATAATGTATATTATTTGATTTGATTTAATATTGGAAGATGCTTATTGGAAAATGAATAAAAATTATTTACAATTTTTTAAAGTTATCCTTTCCACTCCTTAACCTTGACTCCATTTCCCTCTTCTTTGTCTGTTGTTTCCTCTGTGCTGAATCACAGACTATAATCTCATCGGGGCAGGGACCCACCCTCTCATACTTTGTGGAGCCGCAGGCAAGTTAAGGGTGCTGTGTGAAGAAATGGTGACCAGGCTAGGCCTACTACCTTGGATATTTTATAGGTTTCATAAAATTTATTTACACTTGATCGCAAGGAGAGGAAAAAAACCTCAAAGCTGTTTACAAAAAAAATAAAACAAGAAAATTATTGATAAAACCAGTTAAAGCAGCTGTTGAAATAATGAAATGATGATTGCAATTAACGACCAGTGAAAAACAGATTAAAACACTTGTCAACATTCTATGTATCTGGTCAGGCTTGTCTGAGCAAGCAGGAGCTAAAGAGAGTACTGTGAAGGTACCTGCCTGGTAGCTCAGTTGGTTAGAGCTTTGTGCTAATACAGTGGTGCCTCGCAAGACGAAATTAATCCATTCCACGAGTCTCTTCGTCTTGCGGTTTTTTCGTCTTGCGAAGCATGGCTAATTAGCGGCTTAGCGGCTATTAGCGGCTTAGCGGCTATTAGCGGCTTAGCGGCTATTAACGGCTTAGCGGCTTTAAGAAAAAGGAAACAAACTCGCAAGAACTCGCAAGACGTTTCGTCTTGCGAAGCAAGCCCATAGGGAAATTCGTCTTGCGGAACGACTCAAAAAACGGAAAACTCTTTCGTCTTGCGCGTTTTTCGTCTTGCGAGGCATTCGTCTTGCGAGGCACCACTGTAATGCCAAGGCTGCAGGTTCGATCCCACTATGGGACAGCCGCATATTCCTGCATTGCAGGGGGTTGGACTACACTAGATGATCCTCAGGGTCCCTTCAAACTCTATAATTCTACGTTATCAATAGGCAGGGAGTTCCAAAGTGCGGGTGCTATCACAAGATCAGTTGTGGCAAAATCAGTTTCTTGCCAACGCAGAACAAGTCTTATGTGGCACCTGTAACAGAGCCAGTTCCGTAAATCTTTTTATTATTATTATTATTATTTTATTAACCATTTCAACATAACAAAATATCAGAACATATCATCTTCGTTATTTTCCCCCCTTTCTCCCCTCCCCAACAAACCCTTCCCCCCCTCAAGACTTCCCTCAGCTCCTCTCTCTGATTTCTCAACACATATTGTTCTCTCCATAATGTAAAATTGTATAAATCCTTATATTATCTATCTACTATATTAACCCTCAATAGATTTGTGTATGTTTATTCAAAACCTGCCAAGGAGCCCAGTTCATTTTGTCGTCTTTTTAAATAATTTGTAAGGAGTTCCCATTCTTCTTTGAAGTCACCGTTGTCCTTGCCTCGCAGTTTGTATGTCAGTTTAGCCAGTTCTGCATAGTTCATCAATTTCTCTTGCCACTCAGTTCCATAAACCAAAGCGGTTAAGTGGGCCTTCATGGGGTAAGGGGATAACCTCCCATCTCTGAGATTTGTGGTGGAGGTGGGGGCACTTACACCAAGCCGAAAGGATTTTCCACTAGCTTGCTATAGGAAGTATTATACCAGACCAGAACATTGGTCCACGGAGCACAGTGACGTAGCCCAAAGGATTTCTCAACCCTCTTGACTCAAGCTCTTTTTCACTGGACATGCCAGGAACCTTACGCTAACAAAAAAAAGGCTCTCTGCTCTCTGTGTGTTTTCAGTACAGTGGTACCTCGGGTTGCATACGCTTCAGGTTACAGACTCCGCTAACCCAGAAATAGTACCTCGGGTTAAGAACTTTGCTTCAGGATGAGAACAGAAATCGTACTCCGGCGGCGCAACAGCAGCAGGAGGCC